GCCAGGGACTCGGTGTCCCTTCTGCGCTGCGCCAAGGGGGACCCCAGCAGACTCCCAGGATGCTGCTCTCGGGGACTGTCTTGGGGTGCCGCCGGGCTGCGCCGTGCTTGACGTCAGCTTCGGCAGGATGGCGGTGTTGCGGGGCCGCCGGAGGGGTGCGCTGGGCGGGCAAAGGGAAAACCCCGGACAGCTGTTTCTGCTCTGACTGGCCTTGCTGACGACTCGCTCCCCGGGCGGCCCCCGTGCGCCCCGCCAGCGCCGCCCTGGCGCTCTTCCCCCCGACCGACCGCGGCCAGCCTGCGGGCGCCTTCCCTACGCCAGGTCGGGTTCGCTGGCGCTGGCGCGTGGAGACAGCACCGGGGTGCTCTCCCCAGCCTGGCTCCTCGCGCTCAGCAGCGCCCTCGCCCCTCGTGTTGCTGCACGAGGCAGGAGCGGGCCTTTTGTTTGTTTGTTTATTTTGGCATCAGACTGGGGTGCAGGCCAGAGGTGCAGGGGTGAGAGGACGCCCCAGAGACGGCGCGGGGAGCAGAACAGGCGGAGCCACTGAAACCCACTGCCGAGGGGGCGGCGGGAGACAGGTGGGGTCTGCTGCGCCCCGGGGGTCCCTGCCCGGCCGGGTTTGGACTCAGGCCACAGCAGTGATGGCCTGAGACTGACCGCTGGCCACCAGGGAGGCCCGAGAGAGGGTCTGTCTTGATAGAATGTGACTTCTGTGGCTCACGGGGCTGAGCCGTCTCACGGAGCTGCCGCAGCCACTGAGCACGAGTTCCATCCCCCGGCAGAGACTGACCTGCAGGGCGCGGCAGACCTTGCTGTCCCCCGCTGCTCCCCACTCTGTCGCTGGTGAAATCTCTCCCCCGACCACTGGCCTGTACCCCAGTTCTTGTGTGCATATACAAATAAATGTCTTAACCCCAGAAAATGTTATTTCAAGGCAATAATGAAGGTCCACGTCTCGTTACTCTCACGTAAGTCGCGGCCTCGTGCGGCCTTCTCCCGAAAGGCGGGGCGCGGGCTCGCCCGGCTGAGGCTCGCCCCGCCCCTCGCTTCTGCAGGATGCACGACAGCATGTCCACGATGGTGTACATCAAGGAGGACAAGCCGGAGCGGCTCACCCAGGACGAGATCATGTCTAAGACGAAGCAGGTCATCCAGGGGCTGGAAGCGCTCAAGAACGAGCACAACTCCATCCTGCAAAGCCTGCTCGCGACGCTGAAGTGCCTGAAGAAGGACGACGAGAGCAGCCTGGTGGAGGAGAAGTCCGGCATGATCCGCAAGTCGCTGGAGATGCTGGAGCTCGGCCTGAGCGAAGCACAGGTAGGCGGGGGAGGGGCGGCTCTGCTGGCCGCGCTGCCCACAGGCTCACGGGACGTGGCCGCGCTGCCCACAGGCTCACGGGACGTGGCCGCGCTGCCCACAGGCTCACGGGACGTGGCCGTGCTGCCCACAGGCTCACGGGACGTGGCCGCGCTGCTGTGTGTTTAAAGATTTTGCTGTGTATGCACAGAGCTGGGGACAGGCCAGAGGTGCGGGGGTGAGAGGACTCCCCACGGACAGAGTGGGGAGCAGAGCAGGCTGACGGGCGGAAGTACACGGCTGAGGGGGCGGCCGGAGGGTCAGGCAGGTCTGCCGCGCCCTGTGGCCACTCCCCCGCCGGGATGGAACTGTGCTGCGGCGGCTTCTCAGCGCTGCTTTCGCCCGTCGGCCACCAGGGAGGCCCGGGGCTGCGTTTCAAAGGCAGAGTCAGAGTGGAGGTGACGTGTGTGTCGCTCAGGGTGCCCTGTCGCCACGTGCATGAAAGCACCACGCAGGCGGTGGCTCCCAGGGACAGGCCTTGACCCGCTGCGGTGCCTCAGGCGGGTCCATGGCTGCCGAGTCCTGGGCGCCTGGGCCCTGCCGCCGCGGCACCGCACGCTGCTGCCTGTCGGGGGTGGAGGCTGAGGGCCCGCTGCAGCCAGGTGACCCGCTCTAGGACGCGGAAGGGCCAGGAGGGGCCGCTCCTTCCTTTACCTGCTCACCCCCGTGAGGGCCGGTTCGAGAGGCGGCGGGACCTGGCCTGTAGCCTGCCCCGTGACCCCGGGCGAGACCGCCTCTGCGTCTGGCACCTCTCTGGTCCCTGCCTCGCTGGACGGGGAGCGGAGTGGGAGGGAGCCACGCGCCTGCCCCACAGCTTTCGTGGTGCCAACATGTCTTAGGCAGAATGCCATGCGCTGCACATGGGCTTGCTCCTGAGTGCCGTGCTCAGTGAACAAGTGAGGTGCGGGCTGGGGGATCCCCTGCCTTCCTCGCGGAGCCCCGCCCGCGCGCTGCCTGTCCAGACCCCGGCTCCGAGTCCGCGGCCCCACTGCCGAGCCGGCTTTGGCCCTGCAGGCATTTCTCGAGCCCTGTGGTGGGAGGCGGTGGGCACACGCGTTTCCCTTTCCAGCCGGAGGCGCTGGGGCTAAGGGGAGGAGCGAGCCCTGCCGCTGGAGTCCAGGCGTCGAGCCCAGGGGCTACCTGGAGGGGCGGCAGGTGCCCGGCCAGAGAGACCGGAGCTGGCCTCCTGCCCTCCCCGCCCCTCCGCGCCACAGCCTGCCCTGGCCGCAGGTGGGCCGTGCCCGGGGGCCCTGCGTGCCGCGGACAGATCCAGGCGGCACCAGCGCCCGCAGCGGGCCTGCGCTTCCGCTCTCGGGGCCGGCCTGGCCTGGCGCCTCCTGACGTGGGGCGAGGCCGTGTCTCCCCGCGTGCGGGCAGAGGCCGCCCCGAGAGGCTGGAAGACAGTTTCGCAGAAGAGGGAGGGGCTGTCTGCCCTCTGCTGCCCTGTTGCGACGCGCTCAGAGAGGCTCCCCGTTGCGGTTGTCGTAGGCACGTGGCACCTCCCGCGTGTCCAGCTGGAGGAGGAATGGCCACGCCTCTGCGCCCAGCAGGGTGCGGCCGGGCGGCGGCCGGCGCTGAGCCCCTGTGTGCGCAGGTCATGATGGCGCTGTCCAACCACCTGAACGCCGTGGAGTCGGAGAAGCAGAAGCTGCGCGCGCAGGTCCGCCGGCTCTGCCAGGAGAACCAGTGGCTGCGGGACGAGCTGGCCAGCACGCAGCAGAAGCTGCAGAGGAGCGAGCAGTCGGTGGCGCAGCTGGAGGAGGAGAAGAAGCACCTGGAGTTCATGAACCAGCTGAAAAAATACGACGACGACATCTCCCCGTCGGTGAGTGGCATGAGGGCCGGGGCGCCGGGCACTCCCTGGCGGCGGTCGGCGCTCGGGGGGTGGCAGCCGTGAGGCGCGGACGTGGCCTGC